ACACCAATTAACCTAGCCTGCATGTCTTTGGATGGCAGGAGGAAGCCGGAGCACCCGGAGAGAACGCACACGGACACGGGGAGAACATGCAAACTCCACACAGAAAGGCCGGGGCAACTGGGGTTCTTGCTTCTTGCTGTGAGGCGACCATGCTAACCGCTGCACCACGCGGTATTAAAAAATAATGGTAACAATTATTAGTAGTGCAGGTGTCAGAAGGCATTGCCTAGTTGTGATGCACTCCATACTCGTGTCATACGTACGCAACCTGACATGGGGATATTGGGGATACCTGGGACAGATAATCACTTTTGATATATAAACGATATACAATAACAATATATAAACACCTAATGAAGGTCCTTAGTGGAAGCTGGACCTCCCTGCCACTCCGTTACACTTAAACACAGAGATGCCTACATACCACAGCAAGGTTTGTAGGCATCTCTATTTGCCGTAATGTAAGTATTCTATGCTTAGACATGGGTGCAGGGTTATGTTTTAAAATGCAGGAATGCATTTTACATCTCCTAACCTGACCTATGGTAATAATAAAGGAAAATATAGGCCCTATTCAATCATACAGATAGATAAATAATAATGATAATATTGCTGAGTGTAATTGCATGACTCATAAAATCCCATTTGAGCCTGCTCTGGTAAAGCGGTGTTGGATGGAAAACCGCTGAGGATGGGGTGCGTGCTCTAATAAAGAATTGAGAAACACTATTCAAGGTTAATCTGCTGTTGTATGGGGCGAGGGAGAAAGTAGCCAGAGTCTTGACAGTAAGGGATGCACCGATCTGACTTATTCAGTCCTGATACCAATACCTGGACTTTGGGTATTGGCTGCTGACAAGTACAGTGACACAGCGTAGCTTACCGGTAGCGGTGTAGTAATGTTTCATGAACAGAGGGTTGTTATTTCTCTTCTGTGATAGTGAACACAACATATGGTTTTTCAGTAACTATAATGCTTATCTAGCCATGTTATGGCTGACTAAAGGAACTTCCCCTTATAGCATGCACTTTTCTGTGACTGTGGTAATCTGGCACCAGGAGATACTCACTTCCCACAACAAACCTGCTACGTCACATATTGTTCAGGTTACCCACATGGCTGCCTTCCTTAAATGGGGGCTGGTGGCTTTGTGTAGGCAAGGAAAGTCAAGCTGTTGTTCCCTTTTGCCATCTAGTAACTCTTATAACTGTTTTTGTGTTTAACGATTTGTTCCCACTTTTTCCCCAATTTTTACCATTTTAAATAAATTATTTAAATTTGACCATACGGCCTTTAGTGTGGTACATTCCCCCAGTTAATACCACACAGGTATAACATATCTTTTTAAGGAATAATTAAAGAAGAAAAAATGACAGCTGTCAGGGCATAAAACAAATGATCTGTTGATCGTTACAAATCAGGACTTGACAGTCTAACAGTCCCATAGCCTGGGAATAGGACACATTTGCAAGCTCATGTTTTATTTTCTCTGGCAGGTGCTAAAAAAAAACTGTTGAAAATTTAATGGAATCGTGGCTTTAAAATCAAAAGTCAAACCGTTTCAACCCTAATCACCTGATTGCAGGGATTATACAATTATAAGTTTATTTTTAAAAAGTGGGATAATTGGATAAAGGGGATGAATTTGCTCTACTTGTTCCATACACATTAATTCACCCAAACCTAAGACCATCCAGTCACTGGTTAAACCATCAGAGTACATTTACAGGCCAGTCTTTGGTGAGAACACATTTAATATTGCTGTTTGTCATAGAGCAAATATAGTCTAAAAACAGCATTTTGCTTTTGAATAGGGACCAGTGAGATGTAACCATGGATACAGTGCAATAAAACGTTTCAGAGCATAAAATAAGTCCATCCAGTCAAAACGGTGATGATGTTTTAAAGGAGTTGGAAAGACATTATTCATTGTGTTGCAAAAAGCCACATCTGGAATCATTTGGGCTTTTATCATTTTATTTACAAGAAAAAAATAAGTGACACTCCTCAGAATGAGTAAATCTCCTACATTGGAAGGAAAATACTGACATAATAAAATGAATTCACAGAGGCAGTTATGTCTTTAACAAGTAAAATATGATTATGCAAAAAGCAGTGCTGGTCCCGTTCGATATTTCTCTTCCTTGCCTTATCTGTGAGATGTCGCTCCTAACCATCTGAGCTTTTCCATCCAGCATTACTTGGACAGCTGACCTAGAACAATTGTGGGAGTGAGATGGTAATCCATCCCATCTTCAATAATGCACCTTTATTGCCGTCTTTGTTCGTGGAAAGCTGAAGTCATTCAGTCTCTGTGTGGATATGACCTGAAACTATTGTTTTTGCTCCTCGAGGCTCTTTTGCTTTGAGTGTTTTCCCGACATTGTGATTAAAGAGTAATGAGTAAATGGGCAATATCCTGGGCAAATATCCAGCTACAATTCTTCAAAGCTACCTGGATGGCGAGGCTGGCAGTATACTTGAAACAAATCAATTTTGGCTTGTTCACATAGGCAAAATGCCAAGTGTAGAACTCAAGCTCATAGCTGCATTTATAATTCAACGAGATAATGGTTTATATGCTGGTCAAAAGAATGGAACATTAATTTGACTATTTTTAACACCTCCTGCGACTCCTTCCACAGCACAAGCCAGTGGATGTCCTGCACTGTATTGCAGCCAGTAGATGGAATAGAATAGAATAAATAATAGAATAAACTTTAATTGTCATTGTACAGTAAAACCACACAACGACATTTGTTTGTGCAACCTCTAAAACAATACTCACGTTTATAAGCACACTCATACAATAAATAAAATAAAAATGATAAAATCCCTATCTAAAAAATATGGCTGTGCTGATGGTGGAGGGGCATGATTATTCAGTTCTGTGATAGCCCTGGGGATAAAACTGTTCTGCAACCTGGAGGTGCGTGCTCCCAGAGCCCGATACCGCCTGCCAGATGGAAGCAGGGCGAAGAGATGGTTTGAGGGGTGTGTCTCATCCTGCAGAATATTATGCGCTCGGCGTAGGCAGCGGATCTTAAAGATGTCGTCCAGTGGATGCAATGGAAGTCCGATGATTTTTTTCGGCAGATCTTATAATTCGATTGAGGGATTTCCTTTCCTTCTTCGTGCAGTTGGCATACCATGCAGTCATACAGTATGTTAGAACACTCTCGATGGAACATTGATAGAAGATCTTAAGCGGCTCAGTTGACAAGTTGCTCCTTTTGAGTATTCGTAAATGCTAACATGCACTCTTTATACTGCACACAAGATAGACCAACTTGTTTTCAATTTTCAAAATGGCCGCATTGTGGCTTCACAATCATCTTGTTATCATATTGATTGGGTGAAAAATTAAAGTCCAGAATATAAATGGAAAAAAAACTACAATGGACAGTATTAATCTGAGTCATCAAGTCCAGGGCTGTCTGTGTTCGCTGTGGCCGTACATAAAAGAGTCTTCTTTTTTTCCACCCCCCTGCCACAGCTGACTCACCACTGGAAAAAATGAACTTCCTGCATAGGTCCTAACAGCTCTTTGAAGGCGAGGTGGAGGTTTTTGCTTTAAGTTCCTCTTTCTTCTAAGGCAACCAGTTGCTCTTTGATGTTTTTGGGCGTGTTTGATAAGTCAAGTTTGGCACCGGAAAATTATTTTTATGCACCATATTTTTTTCTGTTTTTGATACAGTGATTAAAAGAAATAACTTCTTTTAGCCATGCATTTACTGTAGGTATATATTATGCTTGTATCTTCACTGCAGTCTTTGTAATTTTCCAAAGTTTGAAAATACAACACATGGCAAAGTTTTATTGTAACCACGATCTGAGTCACTGACACGTGGTGCCACGACTCAGTTTTTACTTGAAAAATGATTACAACTATCCAATTAAAAATGACAATGGACACGTTTGAGCAGCTCCAACCTTTTAACTCGGGTGTCGCTTGTGTTTTGTCACTCAAGTCAAATTTGTGACCCTGTTCCAAGTGTTTTATAGACTTTGTTGTCTGCTTGATCTACACTCCCTGTGGCATTTCTGAGCATTCCTCTGGGCCCGGCTGCTCTCCCCTGGTTCTCTGTAGCCGGTAACTCTCTCCACATAATTGGAGTGGTGCGGGGATGTAACAATGACAAGAGTGTTTGTGAACGTCAACAAATCTAGTCCCTTCATCACCCCTTGTTTTTCCCCCACTTTGTTTGCTTTGTTGTGGTGCAGCAGTCTTAAAGGATCCTTTTATTGCCTTGGCCACAGCATTACTTGGCATTCTGTGTTTGCTGGCATGTGTAATCTATCCCACTGTCCCAAAGTGAGTAAGAGCTTTGCTTTCACTAACATGAAGTGTTCTCCTTGGCTATAGCCTAAAGTACAGTATCTGTAGCTAAACACAGCATATATCTGTAATAGGGCTGGACAATAAAACAGTAACAATAATTATCATGATATAATGTTTTTCAATAACAATATAACAAATGTTCAAAAGTGTTTGATATTCTTCACTTGAATCACACATGAATTAGAAGTTGTTGTTGTTGTTGTTGTTTATTTTTTTGTTGAGGAAAAAGGACTGAAGCTTTTACTTAATTTATTCATGCATATTTGTTGACAAAGATTTTATCATAATTGTTTTGAATGTTGTACCTCAGATTTGTGAAGTGATCCACTGTTTGGCCTCAAGTGTTGACCATAAAGAAAAGTTTAAACCACAATTAATCATCGGGTTTCTTAAACTTTACTCAGGAGCAAAAACCTGCCTTAAAACTCGATAGAAATAACGACACTTGTTGTGATAATTATAGATATCCAATGATATGAAATGTTTTATCGTGATAACATTTTTGACCATATCATCCAGTACTACCTAATCTGTAAGTGTGACATAACCACCACAGCAGAGAAGAGAAGTCTTCTATAGGAGGGTTTGTTGACTATTAGGAAAACAAATGTACCCAAGTATATCAATCCAAATGAATCTCTATTTTCTTACTTCCAGGTGTACCCAGCCATGATCGAGGACAAGGGTCACCGCGTGACCGACTACTTTGTGGTGGCTGGGCTGACAGACAAGTCCACGCCCCTGGAGCAGGACCTGTCGGAGACCAAGTCCAGCGGGCCCAAGGCACCCATCACTGACTTGGCCGTCATTAACAAGTCGGCAGGAGAAACCGTGCCCGAGGGCTTCACTTGCATCGACAGCACCTACAGCGGCCAACCAGCCAACCTTAATCATGGCAGTCTTAAGAGTCCCGAGCTGTTCCTGTGCTACAAGAGGAGTCGAGGGAAGTCTCCTCTCATTGACATTGGGTGAGTCAGTTTGTTTATGTCACGGTTTGTAATCTGGCATGTAAATACGCCTGCAGCAGAAAGGGACTCTTCACTTCCTCAATGTTGTCTTCTGCTGTTCTCTCCGAGTTACAGTAGCTTTAGAGGCTCGGTGTGATGTTACGATGGAAACGGGTTGGAACAAGGAAGAAGCTTTTGGGGTGGGGGTGGGGGGTCTTTTTAAATACATTATGGCATGTCACAGTAGGAAAAGTGTAATAAATATAATAATGGCTGAATTCCATTTAGCTCCTTCAGTTTCAGGGTCCTGGTATAGTGAAAGGTGTCTAGTATTTTGTGTCCCTCAGAGTCATACTTAATGTAACTAATGTGTTTTTGGGGGTGGAAGGAAGAAGGTGTGTTGATTATTTAGTTCACTCTCCCCTGTTGCGTCATGGAGTGTTCTCCCGCTCAGCCACACCTCTTGGCTTCTATCCACTGATACAATTTCCCTGCTTCCTTCTCTTATCTTAAAAGAGGATACTCCCATTATGGTGCCCTTTTATCCAGACTGGTATGCCTAAAGCTGCCACTTGCTGTTCTAACTTGTTCACAGAGGAGCCAAACATGTTAACCTATATTTCATGATTAATGCTTTATAGCCGTTAACCCGTTTGTCCTGAATGAACTAGCAATATCAATGTCATTGAGAACAATGATGAAACCGCCCGAGGCATTTCAGGGCTCCACACACCTTACCCAATTTGTGTCACCCACTAACAAACTGGAGTTTCCTGTTACATTAGATGATCACTCTCTGAAAGATTCCCCTTCAAATTCAGGTCTTTCATTAAAACATGGTGTTGCTGTATAAAGATTACAACACATTGACTGCACTCCAATAGCTCTGTGATGATTCTGGTTAATTTCACATGTTAATGGTGTGATTCCCTACTGCTAAATGTAGCTGTAAACCATAGAAGTACATAAAAACCCTCGTGAAACCTTGCACCCGCTGGTGCTCTGAGCATAAACAGAAGATCATATGTCAAGTGTTGTTTCCTTTTAAAGGATTGCGCAATCCAGCTTAGCCTGCTAACAGACGTATGGAGTGGAGAAAATAGATCTGAAGCTATATTCAAGGATTCAAGTTGTCAAGCTGCTTTGCTTGTTTGATTGGTCGGAGCACCAAATCAGGCATTCAGTTTAATGAGACTGCATAGCACACAGGAATAGCTTATTTTCTGTGTTGCTGCAAACAGAGATAATATTAGGAGGCTCCTAATGTAAAATGCATGACTTTGTGGTCTGTTATTAATAAGTGATATGATAGCATGTTTTAATACAAATGCGATGTGTAGCTGTGTTCTAGCATTAGTTCACTTCCTGATGGTTCTGTTTAGGTTGAGTCACAACCGTAGTGGTGTAAATATTTTTGGCCATGTTCCCTTCCTGATCTGTTCCACCAGACTAAACAAAAAACTAGCAACATGTAAATCTTTAATTCCTCCTTCTGCCACCTCTGCTGTCAGTAAAGCCAGCACTTCCAGCCCGGGGCTCCGCAGCGTCACGACTCACTGTGCCCATTAGGACTCTGAATTTGTTGCCTAAATGAGAATTTGCTGGCAACTGTCCCCCTGGCCTCTTTAGGTTTGTCCTGCTCTCTTTTCAGAATAAATGGAGTGTTTCAGGACTATTATATCTGTGCTGGCTGCCCTGTAGCTTGAACAAGATTTAAAAGAAGTGTTTTGGGGTCTGTGTTAGTTTAAACAGGACAGCAATCAGCAACCACAGCTTTTGGCCTCCCACATTGCATTGTCCAGATGGGAAGGGAGGACATGGAGCATGCTACCATAGAAGCCCTACAGTCATGCAAAGCACAGCGGGACACTGATTGCTCTTCTGTCGGTAACTTTTAGCTGTGTGATATTCTACAGCAGGAGTGATTAAAAAGCCGAGCCTGGTAATGCACAAAACATGTTGGCAGTAATCCATTATTATTACATTCATTCAAACAAGTGTTTGTTTTGTGCTACGTTGGATATGAGAATCTTGATATGTTGCTCTTACTGCCTGGGGTTCGAATGAGTCAGCTGGTAAATATGTCTAATTCACATCACCCATTGAAGATGGGCTTCTTACCGGGGCCTCAACGGTAAGCCGGAGCTTTAAGAAGAAAGCCAGTGCTGCTGACCACACACTGAACCAGCCACAGTTCAGCCTCTTGCTCATTGTCTTTCAAGAATGCACTTTCCCCCCAAATCAGTCTGAATGGGGGACTGATATGTGTTTATGGCAGCATTTCAGTGCACACTTTTATCTGCCAGATTTGTACACCACTGTTAACAATTCAGTTTTTAAGAAATTGAAGAATTCTTGAAGTCTTCCATCCACATAACCCAGGTGATAAGTAAGTGGAAAGTGAAGAGTGCTTGAGTTTGTCTTTTTCCATGAACATAATGTTTTCTGACAGCTTGGAAGACTTGCAGCCGCATTAATCAATATTTACATACTAACAATGGATCAAATGACTACTGTTGTACTCGATCTGCCCAGCAACAAAACGTACACAGACAAAGTTAGCGACTAGCTGGTGAACACAGTGGAGCATTTAGCAGCTGAAGAGGCAGATATTTCCCTCAGGAGTTGGTGTAGACCAAAATGAGCTAAAAGGAGAGTGGATATACTTTTATTTATAAGGTGTCCAGAAGCACAACTCGAAATGAGTGCTAATATTACTTCATGTCCATCAGACACCATAATAACTTTATATTATGATGATTAGGGTTGTTAGTAATGATTATTTTCATTGTCTATTTGATCTGTTGATTCTTTTCTCATTGATTTGATTTGTTTTTAAGCCTATAAAATATCAGAAAATGATAAACTGTCACTCATTGTTTCCTAAAGCCCAAGATGATGACCCCAAAGATGTGGTTTTGTGCACCACCCAAAGATATTCAGTTTACGGTAATAGAGGAGTAATGAAACCAGAAGACTTTTCACATTTAAGACGCAGAGAATTTAAAAATAATGCAGCACACATACAAATGGGACATCCTACATTGGGCCTTGAACTTTAAAACTTTTGCTCATACTGCGTAGAGGATTGTGGGTCAGGATAGCCAGAAAAGTGTGCTGGTTTGCATAATGTAAAATGCGGCCGGATGCTGTAGGACATCCCTGGTATTTTAGGCATTTTACATACTACGTGTTATTCTGGCATACTGGGTGGAGTCTTTCATTGTCTTGTGTTTAGATTTATTACACAGTTTTTTACACCTTACCTGTTAACATCCCCCTTGTAAGATGTAAAGACATTTTCTTTTAGATGGTAATAATAATAATAATAATAATAATCCTTATTTGTAGAGCACTTTTCAAAAACAAGTTACAAAGTGCTTTAACAAGTGTAAAGAATAATACAAAAAAAAAACATGAGCATGAAAATTTTATATAAAATTAGTAAAATACAATAAAATAAAAGGGATAAAATAAAGTCAAATAAGATCGGGAAAAGCTCTCCTATAAAAGTATGTTTTAAGAAGGGACTTAAAAGAGTTCACTGACTCAGCCGACCTGATTTCCTCGGGCAGGCTGTTCCAGAGCCTCGGGGCCCTGACAGCAAACGCTCTGTCCCCTTTAGTTTTCAGTCGAGACTCTGGAACAGACAACAGGCCTCTGCCCGAGGATCTCAAGGTACGTGCTGGTGCGTATGGGACTAAAAGGTCAGAAATATAACAAGGCGAGAGGCCATGAAGAGCTTTAAAAGTGATCAATAGAATTTTAAAGTCAATTCTAAAGCATACTGGGAGCCAGTGTAATGAAGCTAAAATAGGAGTAATGTGGTCATATTTCTTTGTTCTGGTTAAAAGCCTGGCAGCTGAGTTCTGGACAGTCTGGAGTCGATCAATAGATTTTTGGGTTAAACAGGTGAAAAGGCTGTTGCAATAATCCAGGCGTGATGAGATGAAGGCGTGTAAAATGGTCTCGGTGTCCTTAAAAGTTAACATAGATCGAATTTTAGCTATATTTCTAAGTTGATAAAAACATGATTGAACAAGCTTTGTGGTGTGCTGCTCGAAATTTAAATTACTATCAAACCAAACACCAAGGTTCTTTGCCACAGGCTTAATGTGATTTACTAGGGAACCAGCAGATGGCAGTATTTGATTTGCCATCTGCTGGGACCCGATGACCAGGATTTCTGTTTTGTCTGAGTTCAGCTGGAGGAAATTATTTGACATCCATTTTTTAACTTCACAAAGGCAGTTGTTAAGTGAACTCAGCATTCCAGGGTCTGTGGATCTGACGGGCAAGTACATTTGTGTGTCATCAGCATAAATATGAAAAGAAATGCCATGTTTATGGATAATGTGTCCAAGGGGAAGCAGATACAAGGAAAACAAAATGGGTCCTAAGACCGACCCCTGAGGCACACCATATTGAACTGGACAGAATGAAGAGACATAGTTGTTTACAGACACGCAAAACTTCCTATTTGACAGGTAGGATGAAAACCATTCTAGAGCAGTACCAGAGATCCCCACCCAGTGCCTCAGTCTGTCTAACATGATGTTGTGATCAATGGTGTCAAAAGCAGCGCTAAGGTCCAGGAGTACAAGGACTGAGCACATACCTTCATCAGCAGACATTAAAAGGTCATTGGTGACTTTAAGCAGGGCAGTCTCAGTGCTGTGGTACTTCCTAAAACCAGACTGAAACTTTTCAAATATTTTGTTATTTTCCAGCACAGTGAGCAGCTGTTTGGACACAATTCTTTCTAGAATCTTTGCAATAAAAGGCAGTTTTGAAATTGGTCTAAAATTTTGTGGGAGGGAGGGATCTAAACCAGGTTTCTTTAAAAGTGGGTTCACGCAAGCCGTTTTAAAATAATCAGGGACACAACCAGTAGATAGGGAGCTGTTGAAAACAGAGATCAAATGGGGCCCAACAGAATCTATTACTTTTAGTAAAAATTTTGTAGGTATTATATCAAGTGGGCCGGAGGACACTCTCATTTGTGATATTGTTTTTAAAAGCTCAGACAAGTCGATGGGATAAAACTGGTTAAAACTCTGTTGTTGCTGGTGAGGAACCTCTGAGTAAGAGGCCACGGGGGTAATAGAGGCTCTGATTGACACCACCTTATTGGTAAAATAAGATAAAAACAATTCACAGTCATCATTACTTCCAGCTGAGGCACAAGGAGGGGTTGGGTTTACCAGCTGATCCACAGTGTAAAAACAGAAACCTGGGATTGTGTTTATGTGTAGTAATGAGTTCAGAAAAATAGTGTGTTCTCGCATCCTTAACCATTTTATTGTAGTTAGTAAATCCTTCAGACTGAGGTAATGGACTTGGAGATTGGATTTTTTCCATCTGCGCTCTGCTTTCCTGCATTCCCTTTTTAGGCTGCGAATGCTGTCATTTATCCAGGGTTGTTTACTAGCTGAGGACGTAGGCCTAACCTTTAGAGGAGCAGTAATATTTAGTGACGACAAGCAGATATGATTGAAGTGATCAACCAGATTGTTGGTGTTGGAATCAGACAGGTGTTGGCTTTGGCTCTGAAAGACTGCGCAAAACTTTGAAACACTTTGTTCATTAAAGATGCGACAACACATGGAGCTTGGTGAGGCGGCATGAGTAACAGGCAAATCGCAGCTAAAAACAATACATCTGTGGTCAGATATGGTCATGTCCACTAATTCCACAGAGGAAATGCTGACACCCAGGGTAAAAACCAAGTCCAGTGTATGACCACGGTTATGTGTTTGCCCTTTGACATGTTGTTTGAAGTTAAAAGAAGTGGCCATATTTAAAAAGTCAGTTGCATTAACATTGGTGGGGTCATCAACATGAATATTAAAATCGCCACAAAGAACAATTCTGTCATAATTTAAAACCAGAGTAGATAAAATGGTACCAATTGTGTGGCCCTCCCATTTTCTATTATGTTGTTCCTGGTGGTGACTGAAAACAGCACAGCTCATGAGATCATAACTTATTCTTAGATGTTTAGAACAAAACATTTGGTGCTGTTCATTCTTCTGCTGTATGAAAAACACCAACAACTTCAATACATGTGAAAATTGTGGCTTTCAAAGTCTCTGTGTTGTATTTGTCACTGTTCTGTTGTCTGCATACTGTCTGAAAGCATGACTTGGTACATAGCTGATGGAAATGAGAGATAGACACTAGTAGGAAGGTCATTCTTTAAATTTTGTTAAAATCTTTCCGTTTGGTAATTGTGCTTTGGAGGATTCCCTGGAAGCCTTTGCGTCAGACTGTTTAGGACATTAGTCAGGAGCTTGTAGTGGACACCTTCAACATTTTGGAGGCCACACCAACAGAAGACATCCGCCGTTTGGTGTGCCTGTTGTTGTTGTTTTTTTTTTTATGCGCCACACAGAAATTCCTATATTTTTCTATTTCACTGTGTTTGTTATTCTTTCCTTCTTGCTGTCTTCTTCAAACTTATGATTTGTTGTCTGTTCAAACTTGAATGTCCTTATTTTTTTGCTGTGTAAACTGCTGCTCCATAAGAATGTGAGTTATTTGCCTTTTGGCAGCAAAGCTTGTTTAAGAAATGAAAGCTATGCCAGAGAGCACAACTGATTCCATCACAGCACTCCGTCTGAGGCAGTTAATTGTCTATGAGAGCCTTGCAGTATTGCATTGCTCTGCGATCTGCCATCTTAATTTACACACCTTTTTGATGATTTATGCACTCTGAATCTTAAGACCTAAAGACAGCTCTACAGACCTACTCTCAAGTTACATCGTTATTTCTCTCTGCTGTCACTTTTGTACATAACCTTCAAAATGTGTTGCTGTGTTTATCAGTGTGCTGTATGAAGGGAAGGAGCGACTGATCCAGGGCTGCGAGGTCATCCAGGCCACACCGTACGGCCGCTGCGCCAACGTCAACAACAGCTCCGCCACCTCGCAGCGCATCTTCATCACTTTCCGCCGAGCGCCGCCCGTCCAGCCTCAGAACTCCCTGGCAGTTACGGACATCTGCGTCATTGTCACCAGCAAGGGCGAGACGCCGCCACATACCTTTTGTAAGGTGGATAAGAACCTCAACTGCGGCATGGTGAGTCTTTTCTTCCATAGATAGAACTTTTGCATCATCACTCCTTAGAGAGTACATTTGTAATATCTGTGTTTTAAAACTTTTCAGTGGGGCTCCAACGTCTTCCTGTGTTACAAGAAATCAGTATCTGCGTCCAATTCCATCAGTTACAAAGCTGGTGAGTAAACTTGTCAGATATCTTTGTGATGGCTTACAATGTCAGAAATTCACAGCAGTGTCGTCAGTGTTCTGCAGAAGTCTGCAGTTATATTGATGTGACTGTTATTGCACATTAGATAATAGAGCAATTGTTAGTTATGTTAAATTTATGAAAAAAAATTCATGTCGGAGAAAACAAGAGATCATGAAGTCTACTCTGTATAGAAACGATGCAGTGAGTAGTTAAAGGAAAAGTGTATGTGGTTCACAGTGCATAAAGTATTGTGTCTGAAGCCAAGAAACCATTTAAACAGAAACCCAGGAAATGGAAAACAAAAATGACTTAAATGAAAATACTAATACTCATGCTAAATCAAAATTATGAAATGGCAAGTAGTAAGTAAGGTTCTGACATTCAAAGTCACAGTTAGGAGATACTGAGTCATTATCATGAGATGAAGGGAATCTAAAGTTTGACATTTTAAAAATCAAAGTACTGAGATAATAAGTCAACATTTTGGCTTCTGAAGTCCAACATTATGAAGCGCTTAGTCAGAAAGAGATCAAAAATGTTGACAAACCCACTCATAATTTTGACTTGAGCATTTTATTTTGTCCTTTTAACATAATCATCTTTTTCTTTCTAGCAGAAATAAGCTGCCCTGTTAAATGATGTGATGTACTGATATTAAAAATGCAGTGCAGTTAGAAATGGTGCGGCTTTGAGTGCTGTCACAATCAGCCTCTGTTACTTTTTGTCTCAAAGCTCATGCGAGCGGCACCGTCAGATGTTATCTGTGATCTTGTTGTAGATAGTTATTGCTTGTTGCAGCTGGCATTTCTGAACTGTTTTGTGACATTTTCACCGACTGAATGCTTCCTTAACTGCTTGGCCTTTGTACCAATTCATTGTGCAACAGACGTATAATCAGTGTTCGTATGAATGTGTGCATGCACACACGCTGACTTTATCTGTTTGGCCGGCCTTTTTCCTGTGAGACGGCTGTTTATTCATCTCAGACAACTGCACTTCCTGCCACACCCAATATTTGTGTGTCTACAGGCTTGTTTTTGTATGCGCATGTTGACATAAGAACATTTGTGTCTTGTCAGAAAGGCATCTCACCAAACAACAAGTTACAAAGGAGCAGAACAGTTATTTCCTGAAAATGAAACCACAGTATTCTGACTGATTACTACTTTTCATCCGAAATGACAAAAAGGGAGCTCTCTTTTCTTAGAGCCTCTATTTTTTAATGTTTGCAGAGAAATAAAGCCAGAAGTCTAGCCTGTCTATCGTACCTGGTCTTGTTCTACACTACTACATCATAACAACACTTGTATACAGCCATCATTTGTGTTTTCCTTTGTTTTCCAGGTCTCATCTTTCGTTACCCAGAAGAGGACTATGAGTCTTTTCCTCTGTCAGAATCTGTCCCTCTGTTTTGTTTGCCCATGGGTGCCAAGATCGAGTGTTGGGCACCAAACACGCGTGATCCTCTGCCCGTCTTCTCCACGTTTGTCCTAACCATCTCTTCTGGTGAAAAGGTGAGGTGCAGCAGCCAAGAGCAAGCTGTCATTGATGTAAAAAGAAACTTTCTTTTAATGAAAGGAGGATTGTTATTGTGATTCAGTGTACTCTTTGAAAAGACCTTTTCTATCAAGGTTAAACTGGCGAGGGTGCCAGGATGTTACAACATGACTCTCTCGGTTGCAGGTGTATGGATCAGCCATCCAGTTCTACGAGCCACATCCAGTGGATCTGTTGAGCGAGAAGCAGAAGATCCAGCTAGGCCTGCTCACCACGGTGGAGAAGAAGATGATCCCCAATCGGCCCGTGAACACCAATAAATGCATTTGCCTGCTCTCCCGCTGGCCCTTCTTTGGGGCCTTCCGCAAGTTCCTGATGTTCCTCTACAAGCTCTCCGTCTCAGGCCCACACCCACTCCCTATTGAAAAGTAAGAATACACTTACAGATATCGTTGTGGACATTAATACTAAGCTAGCTTGAATGTAGTTGTATATGTTTGTGAAAAGAATTTGAAGACATTTTGTGTATTTCTTTCAACAGGCACATCTCACACTTCATGCATAATGTGTCATTTCCTTCCCCTCAAAGGCCAAGAATATTAGTCCAGGTGACGTCTTTTATCTCTGTATATTGTTAATAATTGTCAATCTTGTTGATCAAAAATATACTTTAACATGTGTCTTTTTGTCTTTGCCATCTAATTCCTTATATGAACATTACAACACCTTTCCTTTCAGCTCTCGGCACATGACACTTTGATCCTCTCCCAGCCTGTGTGCACACCCTTACCCCTCAGGTACAAAAGTCTTTGCTTTGCAATTTTATTTCTTCCTCTTCATACTTTGACAATTTTTGTTTCCATTGCAAGCCAAACGTAACTGTCCTTCAGTGCTTTGTCTTAAAGAAAAACAGCTGAGCAGGCTAAAAGAAAAAGACCAGCGGAGTGCATTGTTCCAGGGAAAAAAAGCAAATGCATTCATTCAGTTAGTTAGTTTTTTTTCCCCCAGTTTTTTATTTTTCCAGGCCTCACTCTAAAAACAGCCTTGGGCATCATCAGTTTTGAGACCTTTTCCACTGATGCATTTCATAAATGGCAAAACTTGATATGAGCACCTCAAGCAGTGACTCTGGCCTCTTGCCTACCTTATGTAACCTTGACAACCCACAAAAATTTTGATTTTCAGGCATTTGTTAAAGCTAATTGCTAATTGGTATTCAATGAGACAAAATCTGGATTTTTGAGTCACAATTCCAGCGCCCTCTAAAAGGTCATATTAGGTTCTGAAAACAACTGCATTAGAAAAACAAACAATGGATCAAGTAGACTCTTGGCGACAGCTTAATAGGATATTGTCTTAATAACATTAGAAAATGCTGTACATCCTTGGAAATGACTGTCAAATTGAGTCAGTGCCACAGAGTCTCAACAGAAGCTTTCCATTATAAGCTTAACAAATCAAGTATGACTTTCAGGGTTGTTGGATTGCATTATATTGTAAGGTGAGAGTGCTGTTTTGTCCACCATTCCATTTGCATATTTCAGAATTAACCATTAACAACCATTTAAAGTTGCACTCAAACTAATTGTTTCCAGTTAGAATTTTCATTATCTACCTTTGTTTAGAGAAGATCTGAATGACGGCATTTCTCTCTTGTCTGTCTCTAGTTACCTTTACTCCATCAATTTTTTTTTTTCTCCCTTGCTGTCCCAAACTAATCAACTCGCTCATCTCCTCTGTGCTCTCCATCCCACGTCAGTGGGGCAGACTACGGCACTCTGCTGATGAATCTGGGCTCCGAGAACTGCGCCACGCTGCTGCACTTTGTCCTGCTGGAGAGCAAGATCCTGCTGCACTCACTGCGGCCCGCTGTGCTCACTGGAGTGGCCGAGGCTGTGGTGGCTGTGAGTACGCTCCACCATACAAGCCACACTCCTACTCTCATATTCAGTAGTACTAGTGGCAAGATTGAGTTTTAGCAACATTTGCTTAGCTCTTCAGTTCAATTCAGTTTACTTAATTTCGGGTCAGGTTGCATAGTAATGAAAGATAAGATCTGACCATTCTGTGCCTTTTTTATGGCTACACCATATCTGAGCAGTATACAGGGGCTTACAGCAAGTCATAAACAGCCGGACCCTCACTTTACTGACCGCATTAGAAATGTATGTACAGATTTGTTTATCAGATTAATAATATTGTCGATATATGTGTATCTCTATCTAAAAAAATAGTGGTGAAGACCTAACTGCTTACTTTAAAAGCTTCTCTACTTAAGTAATACTCGAGAAAATCCTACAAGTATCATAGATCATCGTTGTTGGGATTTACCTGCTCTGTAGGGAGGGGAAAATAACCAAATTGTCTGCATACATAAAAACAATTATTATGGGATTATCACAAACACAGCCTGTTTCATAAACATTCAGGTGCCCAGGCAAGTCACCCTTAGAATAAAAGACAGCACTACTTCATCTGAACTGCATAGTCTCATTGGCATGCTAAACCACAAAGCATGCATTACATGTATATGTAATTCCTCTAACACTGTTTTTTCTTCATGGTTGATTTAATCAGATGCTTTGAAAGCATTCTTTAAAAGCACATAAACATGGTGGAACTGTGCAGCACTAATTTACTTTGATGAGGGTAACTAACAGCCAGGTGTAACACTGTGAATGACAAACACCGTAAAACATCCAGCAAGAAGAGGAACAGGCTTTTGACAAACACGTTTTCGATGTTCAGTTGTAATGTATTGTGTCATCGACCTTTCTTACATTTAATTAAAAATCCCTATCATATTCACTTATACTATACAGACAATTACACAAGTCAAAGCAATGCTACTAATTATTTCATCTATTCTACTCACAACATGGAACTGGTAATGAACTGGGGATTTACACTTATTTATTCCAAAGTTGTTTACTTAAATATTTTGAAAGTCCTCAAAGTCAGAGACCATAAAGTCTAACAATTCTATCTTTTGTTCCTTTGAATGTTGTGCATTTTGTTTGCATATGAAGGCATCTCAAAAAAATAAAAAAAATAAAATTATTGTCTGAAAAATCTCATAAAACATCAATACACTTGTCAACATTTAATCTTAAAACAACGACAATTACATCATCAAACAATCATTTTTAATATTGCCACTTCGGCCTTTGACGTATTTTTCAGCAAGATTGGTTGTTGATTCTCCAGTTCCAACATAATTGAACTTTGCCAACCATGTATGTTTGATTACACAGGATGTCACAATCCTCAAAAATCCCCCAAATACATCTAGTGTCACAATAAATCAGTTACAATAAAGAAGCGCTATTTCTTATGCAAGTGAGAATTTGTCCGAGTTGCCCAAATTTAATTCTGGAGTCTGATGCAGACTTTCTTCTCCTTTCTTATTGTCAGCCCGGTTGTTGTAATTGTGCTTCTGTCTCTTGTCTCTCCTCAGATGATCTTCCCCTTCCAGTGGCAGTGTCCCTACATCCCCCTGTGCCCGCTCTCTCTAGCAGGTGTCCTCAACGCTCCATGTCCTTTTATAGTGGGTGTGGACTCTCGCTACTTCGACCTTTACGACCCCCCAGCAGATGTTGTCTGTGTGGATCTGGACACCAACACTATCTACCTGTATGTTGTGCTTTGATATTAAACCCATGTCACCGCCTGCTTTGTGCTGCATATAAACAGCTCTCATAATGTTTAACTACTGCCTCACATATTACAGCAACACATTTGTTAGACCACCACATAGCAGATGATTTATGCTCCGGCTCTGCTATTACTTCCAGCTAACTGCCTTTGTGGTATTGTGTGTTACAGGTCTGACGAAAAGAGACACAGCAACTGGAAGAACCTCCCAAAGAAGCCCTGCAAGAGTCTCGTTAACTCACTGAGCAACTTGCACCACCAGCTGGCCACAGGTACAAACTGCATCTCACCTCCTCTTGTAGCAAAACCTTCAGAGAAGGGAATGGACCAAAAAATCATGACATTATAATCTCATATATAAAAAAACTATTGACACTGAAAAATTGAATACTGGCTACACAAAACTTATATAGTGCTTTCCAAAACAAGTTTATAAAGTAAAAGGATGATTTACTGAAACAACATAAACATAAAAGAATAAAACATAAGAGAAGCATTTGGTAAAGTTAAGATAAGTTAAGCTAGTTGAAAGATAAAAGCACATTTGTATACACTCTCTCACACACACACACACACACAGACACACACAGATTTTGTATAGATTGGTCCAACTGACCTCAAAATTCATTGTGTGTTTTAGTTTCAGTACGTCAAACAGGTGAGGAAGGCTCAGCAGTGGACATGACCCCCATCGAGGCGGACTTCACATGGCACAAGAAGAAGACGGCCCTGGAGATGGAAATCCAGGAGGCCTTCCTTCGCTTCATGGCCTCCATCCTGAAGGGCTACCGCTCCTACCTCAAACCTATCACCCAGGCGCCCTCCGAAAAGGCCACGGCCGCGGACTCCCTCTACGACCTGCAAGGTAAACGAGTGATTGAGCTCGCTTTTCAAATGTGTGGAAACCCGGGTAAAATCGACATGTGAGTGCTTATGTACAGCCTAATACGATGCTTGTTGAAAGCTTCCTGGCTTTGTAACCTATGCATAATTTAGACCTTTAAATTGGATTGCTTCACTGATGTTTAATTTTATCACTATTTCTATTTCAAGGAGCATTCACTCAAGTGTTTTTAGAAATCAATCACCAGTCTCATCAGCTGTAAGAAGACTTCACTAATGCCTGTTGCTGGGAAATGGGTTCTCACCTCCATTTAGCTTCACTGTTGCAGATCAATTTTAGATACAGATAGAATGAAGGAAAAAGGTTTGAAACACAGCTTATTGAAACGCTGTTGTTACAATAAGCTGTGTAGTTTTTGAAGAGGGACAGATAAAGAATACATTGAAACCCTCTTGCCTTCCTGCAGGTTTCCTCAAAAGCCGAGACCGCGCCCACCAGAAGTTCTACTCCCAGCTCACCAAGACCCAGATATTCATCCGCTTCATTGAGGAGTGCACGTTTGTCAGCGACAAGGACACTGGCCTGGCCTTTTTTGACGACTGCGTGGAGAAGGTGATTACCGACCCAGCGTCAGGCCGGTGTCGGATACATACATGCTGGTTTTGTGCTGTTTTGTTTTTCCTCTTCCACCTGCGGTTTCCTTCTATGAACAAGCCTTTGTTTTATGTTGTTTCATTGGCAAAATAACTTTGTCCACTGGGAAACTAAGGAAGCCAGAATTTCCTCTGATTCATTCTGTTCCCTTTGCTCTCCTTCCTCTTCTTGCAGCTTTTTCCCTCTGATAAAATCACCGACAAGAGCACCAAGGTAATCAATTACACAGTAATCAAATTTCCCTGCACCCTGTTTTATGTTTTTAACTAACATTAAAGGTGGCATGTCCTGCTTTTCTTCTATCCTTAAATCCTAACCACATTCAAATGAGCGTGTTTTACTGCCTAACTGGAAAAGCATAATAGATTGTAATATGCTTGTAGTTGTTTGCTTTCTGCCATTAGACAGGAAATGACCTGCTTTTTGTCAAACTCATGTCATCGATGTCAGCATCACTAAGACTCAGGATGTGATCCTCTCCGCAGGTTGAGGGAGAGTCATCTGAGGATACGAGACTGCTGGAGCTGGACGAGTCCCAGAAGAGCGAACACACAGTTTTCGTCATGCCCCCTGAACCTTTAGTGGATGATGGAACTGAACCTGCCCCCAGATACACGTAAGTAATTTAACTTAGACTTTATTAGATAGAGAAGGCCGGATTAAAAATAAACCCCAGAAAAAGTCTTACGTGACCTTGCAACAATCCTATTTCAACAATCCTATTTCTCATCCTCCAGCTATAAAAGTTTCCCCAGGCTGCAGATGGAGCTGTTTGACCGTCCAAGGGAGTTAAGACCAGCACTTAGCACCAGAGCAGCAGGGGCCAGTCTGTCCAGCAGCCCTGCATTACTGGCTAAAAGGACAAAGCAGGTGTGCACACACTCACACAGTCACACTAACTAGTAGCAGCAGTACACTGTTACTGAAATACACTTATCCTCAGTCCTCGTCAACCATTAATGTAAAAAAAAGAAAACCTTTAAATGTCCTTGCATGATCCAACAGGAGATCAAGCTAGCATATAAGATGGCTAAGAGGTTTCACACCAACCCTCCGCTGTGGGCCCGGTGTCTGTTCAGTCACTGCTACAGCCTGTGGTTCATCTGCCTGCCAGCAAGCATGCGACTGGCAAAGTCTAAAAGCCGTGCCATGCAGCAGGCGTACAACGTCCTCCTGAAGATGAGGACCACTGAGGTGGAGGTGCTGGACGAGGTAAAGTCTTTTAAAGAGACTTTTTTTTTTTTTACCAACATGCTTTTCCTGAAGATTTTCATAGGTCTGCATGTCTCATGGTGTGATACGTTTTTATCAATGAATGTTTCGTGTTTTTATCTCTGTGTCATTCAGGTGTGTTACAGAGTGGTGATGCAGCTCTGTGGCGTGTGGGGTCTTCCTGTTATGGCTGTGAGAGTCCTCGTTGAGATGAAGAAAGCAGGAGTGCACCCGAACGCCATCACATATGGATACTACAACAAGGTCACACACATAGCCTTTTACTTTACTAAACCACATCTCAAAGGACTGAAAGCACTTCACTACACACGCATGTCCTCACCCTTTAGTCTGTCCCCCCGCAGGCCGTCTTAGAGAGTCCATGGCCGAGTAGAAACCGTAGTGGCCTCTTTATGTGGACGAAGCTGCGCAATGTGCTCCGTGGAGTGGCCCAGTTCAAGCACGCTCCTCACCGGACATCTTCCAAGAAGGGGCCCACACTTAACCCAACAGGTGGGAATGGAATATACAGTATGACAGGGCTGCATAAAGGGAGACTCGTACTTCTGTTTCGTCTTATTCTGTTTCCTTGTTTCTGACCCACTTTTTTCTTTTTGTGTCCTTCTGTCTTTAGCTACTGCTGACCGTTTGAGTCATGGAAGCGCTGACAGCTCAAGTGAGGTCAACGGCGAGGAACACAGCCTGTTTGCCCACAGCCACAGCATGGAAGACACGACAGACACCCACTGTAGTACAGGTACTGATGCCCTAAAGTTACTAGGGTTGCAGGTGTAAAGCTTTAACAACTGAGGGCTTGTGTGTCCTATGTGGCTCTGATCATTGCTGAGATGTGGAGATGTTACAACACCAGCAACCACAACATCCACGTCCAATATGTTGTGAACAAATCCATTTTTATTTTATACCAATTATATAAATCTGGCTGTCTGACAAAGTCACTGTATTCCCATGTCTTAGCAGTGAAGAAGGTGAGCCTACTATTACAGAGTCTAAAATAAAAGCCAAGACTGTGAAAGGAAGACCCAGGGGTCGCAAAAATAAATAAATAAAGCAAAGCATATTTCCTTTAATTATATCCTCTAGGAAAAATTGTTTGTGTGATTTTTGTAATCCACAGGAAGGCAGTCTGATCAAGGCTACGGCTCCAAGGATGAGTTACACCAGGAGCTGGCAGAGCCTTCACACACTGCTGTCCTTTCCACTGAAGAGAGAAGCATTACCACAGCACAGCATAATGGTAAAGATAAGCTTCTTCCACTCCGAAACGGTCACATCCACTTCTAGTTCTGCATTTAAAGGTTGTGTGTGTGTAACAGAAACCCCATTTCCTCCTTATACATAGATGTTGCTGTGTTGACTATGTGCTTTTATAACCAGGAGGTGACATTGCCAGCTCGGTGGACAGTGCTGTAGCAGTAGCAGAGCCCCCCAGTCCTGTTGATGTGCTGGCACCTGTCCCCAGTATTGTGAGGCTGTCCACTGGGAGCTTTGATGGTGGCAGAGAAACGGGTGAGGAGAAAGTTTAACTAAGAAATTCCTTTTGCTTTAATTGTAAGTTTTCAAATGAAAAAGGACTCGCTCATTTTATCTGTACACATTCTGCAGGTACAGGGAGCTTGTTCAGGAGAAACAGCAAGAATGACAACGTGTCTCTTCCTGATGATGATGCCTCACTGGCATCGGGGGATGTAGCTAGCCAGCCTCAACGCAGCGGCAGAAATCCTTTGCTGAACGCAGCTGTAGCTTCAGTGCTGAAACCCGCGCTGGGATGCTGCTAGAGAAAGGCGTGGACCACATGGCCAGTCAGATGGGTGCCGATGCCCGCATCCTGGCTGCCGCGCTCAGTGGAGGCCAAAGTCCACCCCCAAATAATGTGCCCAAATCCCTTTTTAAAGACCTGGAGGAAGAGCCTGAAGATGACCAGGGCTTGACATTGGGGAAGCTGCCAGAGGAAGAGGGTCCGGGAGCACCAGAAGAAGGGAAGGGAGAAGACATAGAGTCAAAGGGGTCTGAGGTGAAAATGGAGAAACGAGAGAGGAAGCACACTGAAACACATGAGGATGACTCTGGGCTGCGAGGAGTGCCCCTGGAGAGGGCGGACGTGCAGGTGGGTGCCGACCCACTTTCCCTCCTGGTGACCGAGAGCGAGGAGTCGGCCTCTGTCACCAGCCAGGAGCTGCCGCGCTCCATGCCTGCTGTGGTGTCCCGCAACCTGGCCGAGGAGATTGAGATGTACATGAGCCTGAGGAGCCCCCTGGGCGTCAAGTCCTCCAGCATGGAGCTCCAGCAGGCCCAGGGAGACTCCACCGACACCCCACAGCCCAAACTGTCTCTGGAGCGCCGGTCCAGCCTCCCCGTGCCTCCTGTCAAAACTCCAGCTGGCTCACCGGGCGATACACCCAAACGCAGCCCCTCCACTGTTACTCGCTCCAAGACTTTTGCTGTAAAGACAAAGACCCCCGCCAGCGCTGTGGGTAGCCCGGGTCCTAGATCATCCTCATTGACGGCGCTGGTCAAATCCTCCCAAGGAGGGTCGTTGGGCTCAGTCATCAACTCCATTTCAGGCATTAAGATGGACACCCTCTTGTCGGGACCTAAAATTGATGTTCTTAAGTCAGGCATGAAGCAGGCGGCAAATGTGGCCAGTAAAGTGTGGGGGGCAGTTGCTTCAGCTTACTCCTACTCAGATGACGAGGCAAGTGTCATTAAACAAAAGATTTATCAATAGACATTTTAAACACGTTTTCATTTTATTGTTTTAGCTTTATTAGCTGATTAATTCTGACCAGAACTGTGTCAGTCACCAGTGATAATTTAAAGCAATCCTCTGAATCCAACTTTACTCTGCAGGATGAAGAAGCTCAGGGTGGCGGCGGCTTCCCGTCTCACCTGGATGAACACCTGCTGGCTGCACACGAAGTAGATGACAGTCCTGACAGAGGTCCCATCCCCGGGTTGGTGGCCAACGGTCTAAACCAGAGCTGCACCAGCCTGGGCAGCAGCAGCGGCAGCAGTGACACAGGCCGGTGGGCCCACCAGACGCGTAAGCACTCATTCTGTAGTGCAAATACATGATGGCACAGGAAGAGAAGGACCTAATGAGGTCAGCTGGCCTGTGACAAGAGTAATCAAAGTCTGTTGGTCTGTTTGTCTCTATCTGTAGATCCAACTCCTGGACGAGTGGGCAGGGGTCCAGACTCTGAGCAGTGCTCCTCACTTCACGCTTCCTCGTCAAGCATTTACCAGAACTGCGCACTGGAGGTCAGACACGCTGTACACACGCAAACACACTTTTTCCTGCTGCTCTGCTTTCACTGCCAACATGTACATCGGAATAACTCCTAACTGGTTGGACCTATTTCACCGCTGCCAGGTGCTGATGTCCAGTTGCTCCCAGTGCCGCTCTTGTGAAGCCCTGGTGTACGACGAGGAGATAATGGCGGGCTGGACAGCTGACGACTCCAACCTGAATACCACCTGCCCTTTCTGTCGCACAGCCTTTCTCCCCTTGTTGCACGTGGAGTTTCATGACTTGCGCACAATGACCGGGTAGGAATCTGTTGTCTTAGAATTAAGTATATGATGTGTCGTCAGGACATTAAAGTAATTTAAGATGAATTATAAAACCGAGTGTGTCACGTACAAACTTCTTTTTACAGTGCGAGCTGGACATTTTTTTCCCCTAACAAATGCTAATGGACTATTCTGTGATCATCCCTTTCAGGTTCTACATGAATCCCAGTGCCTCAGGAGACAGTATCCACAGCACCAACGCCCAGCCCACAGCGAGCAGCTCGGCTGACATTAAGACGCCAGACCTTATCACTTTCCCTGAAGAGGAACCCAGGGAGACTTCAGCTGATCAGCCTGTAATACAGAAGAGGTATACACAACACCACATCATGTGAAACACCTTAAGCACCTCGAATTACAGTTTTAGATTTGCAATCTGACGCCAAGAAGCTAAATACTTGCCTGTTGTGTTTCTAGTCTGATTCCAGAGCCAGTGCAGTCAGATCCTCTGGGTCTTGTGGAGCACCAGCAGCAGAAATGCATTGGGACGTCACTGACACGCAGCAACAGTGTGGGTGGGCCTCTGCAGAGCTTGGACTACTCCCAGAGACCCGGACATGGCGTCTCCACCACCAGCCTGCCCTGCAGTCTGCAAGAGGTGTCGGTCAGTGCCCCTTACTGTCACAAACCAATCCCATTGTGCCTAAATATTGCAGAGCAATGCAATGAAAATGATTGGTGTGTCTGTGTGTGTTTGGCAGGATGGCATGGGGACTAAACGGCCAAACCCCAAGCCTGTGTCCGTACCATACCTCAGCCCCTTGGTGCTGCGCAAGGAGCTGGAGACCCTGTTGGAGAATGAAGGAGATCAGGTAAAGTACTCACATACACGCATAATGTCGCTGTTTGCTTAACAGATGTCTGCCACACAGCTGTGAGACATGACACGAGATCCTGAGGTTTGCTGCTCATTGGCAACTCCAACTTCTCTACCCTGTCTGCCCAGGTGATCTACACCCACAAGTTCCTCAGCCAGCACCCCATCATCTTCTGGAACCTGGTGTGGTATTTCCGTCGTCTGGACCTGCCCACTCACCTACCTGGTCTGATCCTTACTTCTGAGCACTGCAACAACGGAGTACAGGTCAGAGACTTAATCCTCTATCATTGTTCTTTCAGTCTCTCGTGTTATGGCTGTCCTTCATCTTTCCCTATATGTCTTTGCAGCTGCCCCTGACGTCACTGTCCCAGGACACTAAGCAGGTATACGTCCAGCTCCTGTGGGACAACATCAACCTGCACCAGGAACACGGAGATCCCCTCTACCTGCTCTGGAGGTCCTTGTGTGAGTGTGCGCACACACACACACACACACACACACACACACACACACACACCAGATGGTAGTCCACCTTTCTGTATTAGCCATTTACTGTGGCTGAGATCCTTAAACACCATAATTAATCCTTAATGCACTACAAGAATAATTTCTGATGGATTCATGTTTTGTAGAAACCACCTACCACTAAGGGGAGACAAAATACTTGCAGTTGCTTTGATTTGTATTATTCAAGGCCTTTAACTTGGTTGGCATTGTTTGAAAAGTCAGATTCATATAATAATTCATTTATTTTATTGATCTATTGTTGAAACTGCGGCAAGAACATTGCATATTTTACCTCCTTGGATACAATGTCACTGTTGGCCAGAAGAGGTCCGACTTGAGGTTTCTTGCTAAAAAAATGATGTGGTGTTATCTTTAGTGGAGAAGAAAGGGACGTTGGCTCCTACAGACCACCAGGAGATCCGTAACCTCCTCAACACAATTGTTCGCAACATCCAAACCAACGACGTCTACGGGCCAATCAACCTGTTGATCCGAGAGATCAAACGGCGCCCAGAGGGTGTCAAACGGCAGAGGTCGGATGTAGCTCTTCTTGAAGCGCTTTTTACTTCTTTTAATTGGTTCAAGATTTTGCCCGCAAAGCATTTGACAGTTTATATTCTTGTAATGTAAATGAAAACACCTCTGATGTCTCATTTCTGTGTCTTGTATTTCTCCCAGGAGTATCTATAGAGAAATATTGTTCCTCTCACTGGTGGCCTTGGGGAGGGAGAACATCGACGTAGGTGAGTGACTGTGTGAAAGGCAAAATCAACCCTTTACACACCATGACGTAGCTGTTTTACAGAATCTGAAGGTGGTGAAAAAGACTGAAAGGTTCCTAAATTGCATCATGTCATCTTGATTTATCTGCAGAGGCCTTCGACAGGGAGTACCGCCAGGCTTACGACGAACTGAGCACCGAGCAGCTCAAGTCTTTGCACCGCATGGATCGACCGCCAAGCGCCAGCGTCCAGTGGTGCCTTAAATGCTTTGGGGCCCCGTTCATCTGAGCACCAACACCTGTGTCAGCGATGAAAAATCTGACTGGCCAAGTGTGACAGCAGGATGGGAAGGATAGGCGGTGGGCCGGGGTGTGAGCGAAAGTTTTGGTTGTATTTAAACACCTCCAGTCGCCCAAACATGGTACTTCTTCTTTCCCTTGTCTTGGAATATGCCCACTGTCTGCTTTTTTACAACCTTATCATGTGTTTCCTCTGCTTTACGAGCAGCTACTTACAGGTGGGACTGTTTCTTTAAATTGCTTTGAAAGCTGCAATCTTTTGGGGACTAGTTGAGGTGCGTTTCTTTACAGATGGTGTATAGAATGATTAATCACTGTACAGAATGTATCGACTGCCCCTATGGTGATGTGTGTGTGTGTTTGTTTGTTTGCGCAGCCGTGTTTTTCTTGCAGTCATTTCCCTGTCTCGTAGCCTTTTGCCCACTTTGCTTTAATCTGTCTTAATTATCCCCTGACTGTTCCTTTGTGCACTTTCTAAATCAAACAAACCGTAACTCAAGTCCACCTGTCTTTTTGTACATATTGTTTACTTGGGGGGGGGGTAAAACCAGGGGCCTATTATTTTTGGAGCCCTCGATGCTTCATCTGTTTTTGTGATCCAAGTCTTAATGAATGTTCCAGTTGTTTGTACATGTACAGGTTCAGAGTGAGGCTCTCTGTCTGTGTAAATATGTTGGAAGCACAAACGTAAATGGGATAGGACAATCACTAATTATCAATCACTAAAATTCATTTGACAACATTCCAGGTTCCCTGCAGTTAAAACAGGTCTTTAAAGAAGTATTATTGATCTCTGCAACAACGCCAGCCAAGTGGAGGTTAAAAGACATACCACACAACTGATTCCCACACATTAAAACAAGACACACGTTCTCCTGCAGGGAAAGAAAGCGTGGTGACGAAACAGTTAGTCCAACTTGTGTTTTTAATATCTGTATTTTTTTAACAGTAACATACTGTACTTGTTCTGCTAATATGTCTTATTGTAACTTAGAGCTGTAACTTAAATGTACTAGGACTATTGCTCACTCTAGCGTAGAATGAACCAGAAAGGATTTTTTTTTTTTAAATTGGATTATTTACGACAAGATTGCTTTTATGGTTTACAAAGTAGCTTTGGATGATATTAGCAATTAGAGCTTTATACCGCAATGGGCTTATTCAATACTGCTGACGCTGTGTTAAGAAAGAGCGAATTTTACAACATGACATTCCACTACATGTTGAAACAGACAGGAAAAAAAGCTAAGTGATGTGATAAACAGTTGGGAAATGGGTGTAGTTTGTCCTGTTGTAGACTTGGGAGAGTGATTTGTACAGATATTGTGAAATATTCGATTTGCACTGCTTAGATTAAAACCGGACCTTCACCCAGGATGAGGATGAGATGAGACGACCTCAGTATATTAACAAAATACAGTAGTTTTTCCTCCAAAACAAAAAGAAATTCTCAATTATTTATTTTTGTATTTGCCATTTGGATTGCAGACAGTGTAGTAACTTAGCATTTTTATGACTAACAATCCCCCTTTTCCCTTTTAGTCCTGTACTGAATTTGTAAATTTGACCTTCTTATGGCAGAGGATGTACAGAAGAGAGACTGTTCTTTAACAATAGATTAAGTGATCTCTTTACCGTCCTGTGGAAAGGAACTGAATGTCTACACTTAAGTGTGTTGAAATAAATGAGTTTGTGAACTGATTGGAAACCAAATGTGTATATTTTTTGTCTCTGTGTTGAGTAGAATTTGTACAGTTTACATGAGAGGCTACAGTGATTCATGTTATTTAGAGTATATTTTCAGGCGGCAGATAGTTTGAGCCTTTGACATCTTCCTTCATTCTTTTTGATTCTCTGGCCAGCATCAAATTCCCTCACAAGTACATTCTCATATTCTCATTATGTCCTCCCAAATCTTCCTCCGTCACTGGTCTCAGTTGTCATACCTGTTCCTCACCAAAGATGTCTTTTAAAGTCACTGTGGGTCTGACAGACAAGGGTCATCAGCTAGAACTTCAAGTCTGATATTTTCCAGAATTTCCTGCACATTATAGTAGATGGCTTCAGAAATGCATGGCTCCTTTAATTTCCCTTTTAAATCCTCTGGGGTCAATTTTGTCTCTTAACCTAGAGAAAGGCCTTTAAGAGTGCATGTAGGACTACAATGGAAGCTATATCACAAAAACACAACAGGGTCTTCACTTTGCACTTCTCTGTGATGGCTGCAGCCAATGATACAGGGGTGGCCACTTTTGCCTGTCCTTTTTTTTGTTCATCTGGGAGGCTGCATTATCCAAGCTACAGTATCCTGAATGGCTGAGAAAATCCAAGACACATGTAGTAGTGTTAAAAAGGTTCTCTCACATTTGTACACATTACTTATGTTGTAAGGGAGACCCTCAGACCAGGCCAAAGGGCTAACGGGCCCTCGCTCCCCCATTATAATCTTGGATTTAACTGTAACTTAGACTTAGATGAATTATGGTTGTAAATTATATTATTTTCAATGACACACAGATTCAAATTAAGTCAAATTTAGTGATAATTTCAAGCAAATACAACAAATGCATGTATCTGAGCTGGTCCCCGTAAATAGTGTATTCTACCCTATAACACTTTCTAAATAATTAAGACTAAAATGTGACACCAGAAATGACATCATCTTGATATAAGCAAAAAGTGCATGTGCATAAGACAAGAAAGAGTTAATATCAACACAAGCGCAGGTTTGTGTTGTATCACATGATGCCCTTCAGAGCCTTCGGAGTCTTCGGAGTTGCAGTCCACTTGCAAAGGCCCATTGTATTCATGTGTCTAGTGTTGTATTCTATCAGGCCTGAGTGCATGTGCTAGCAACAATTTGTTAAAATCCATAAAGGCCCCATTGTTCCGCGGTCGGATATGCACTTAATTCTAAATTATGGCCTTCGACTAAGCCCCCGATACGGCCTGCTAGCACCACTGTTGCTAAATGTGAAGTGTGAAGTCTGTCTTCCTACAAAGCTGTGAAGGCCCGCAGCCTGAGAATAAGGCTGAGTTTATTCTTATAAACATGGTTAACATTATCCTAATCAAGCTTAACATCATAGCTAAATAAATAGGCCTATCTTAGAGACTTACAGTTGTATGTATTTTAGCCTGGTAACATACCACTTGAGAAAAATAGGATGTTAATGGCCACAACGAAAGTAACTTAAGTGTGTGTGGAACATAATTTTTATTGCTTAGAATTAAGTTGTTTTTAATGGGAAATAACGTATTTTATGTGTATTTAAAAGTTAACTTGCACCTAAAAACTAAGTATGGATGTCTGGAACAGGACCCAATTTTTGGGCTTCTGTCCGGAGCAAATAGCATTTTTCTGAATTATTTTCCTTAAATAATGGATATATATATATTTAAATTACAGTCCACCTGCAAGCACACCTTGTAGCATGCCCTTTCAGATATGACACAGGCCCGCGTTAAATTCGTGCTAGATTATTTTAATTAACAAGCTAATCGTATGCTTCCGCCAAGCATAGCTCTTGTGCGTGGGGTTTGTGGCGCATGAATATCTTGATTAAATGTGCGGTCGCAGGTGCGTGTTGAGCTTGACTTGTTCCCCGCAGAGCCCGAGAGGACAGGACAGCAAGATGCCGTTGAGGCGGACCAGAAACGCTGGAAATGTCCAGATGAAAGAACAGCAGGGCCGGGACATGCGACAGAGCAGGCTGACGCTCTTCATTCAACAGTTTGAGAAAGAAGGTTTGGTGGTGACAAAAGTCAAAATGTCAGGTGTCACATTCTCTAGTCCCCACGTTTGTCCTAAAAATGGCGAACTTATCTCCTTGCAGCACAAGACCGTATGAACGATTTAGACGCCAAAACGGAGAACATGTTGACAACAGTGGATAAAGTATTCAAAGTGGAACAGATGAAGATGCCGCCCTCGCTTCAAAACACGCTCATGGGGGATTTAATAAGCGGTGAGCCGTCCTCATTCACAAATTAAAATGTCTGAGCTTCAAACTTGTTTATTTTTCTCGGTTTCACTCACCCGATCCCCTGTCTTCTGTTTAGAGGAGGAAATCTCAGCAAGTGACGTGTCAATTGCCATGAAGGTGAGTTGAATCAACTGTGTAAGTCGCTGCCTTCATTGATTTTGTTTTATTTATTACAAAAGATATAATTATCACCTTTTTCAGATAGAGTCCTTGGAGATGCACCAGCCCCTCAAGAGGGTACCCAGTAAAAGAGGTAAATGATTATTTTTTATTTAACTGTTTCAAATCCTGCATCAAACATCATTGTTGAATTATTTTTGTTTTAACAGAACTGCTTTTATTATGTCTTTTCAAAAAGTAAAATCAACTGATTCTACCCCGGGACGGTCTACCCCACCCCAGAGGTCCTCATCAAGGACCTCTAAGGTAAGCAATGTAGCAGCTAATGTTTTCACACACCAGGGGGGATAACTGCTCTAATAGCTCAGACAATTATATCAAGTTCTGGTCTGCTTTGCTGACCTAATAATATCAAGTTTTAGAATCCACACAAAGTCACATTCAACTTCTTCTGTTTTTGAAGGGAGGGAAGGGGACAAGTAGGACCAGAACATTAGTTGGCAGTAACAGCACTGGAAATATCAGGTAACACTGGGCATGATGGTGTTGTAGTATCTTACGTGGGCGCATGGAGACCTTAACATAGCACTTGTTTTCTCCAGGGGCTCCTCGGCCGCTGCCAAAAGAACTCAAAGCCGTGTGACAAAGACCAACGAACAGACCCTACCAACCAAACGTAGACTCAGGTCTGCCTTCAGTGGAGCAACACCTGTTGTAGTATTCTTATTTTTTTGAGAATTGCACAAATGTGTTTTTACCAGCTATAAAAAAATGAAATAAGTTGACTTGTGAAATTTGCACTGTCACAGGTCTGTCGTCTCTACTGGTGATCTGCACTGTTCAGTGGCAGGCTCTGCTGCACACATCACTGTAACCACAGCACAGGGACAGGTACTTATGTTTGTTTTAATCCGTCTTACTTGGTAACAGCAGTTTGATTATTTAATTTAATGCAAAAAGGGGCGCTCTTCAAAAGCATTTGAATAAAGCACTGAAACCCTTCCAGACCCAATGAGTTTCCCCACCGCCTAGATTCAAGTTTTGTAGAATAGACATGTCTTCCACCTTCTGGTAAAATTTAGGTGTTTAAAATGGACGTGGATTATTATCAGATGCCACCATCTTGCCTGTATGTGTTCTCCATGTGGTTCTCTTCCTTCATAGACTGTCTGCTTTTCTGAAGAGACAAAGGATAAAATTAACTTGGACTTGCTGGATGACGTGGCATGGTGTCAGATTCAGAAGCTCACGGTAATGGGGGGGTGTGTGGAGAGAGATTTTTATATATATATATATATATATATATATATATATATATATATATATATATATATATATATATATATATATATATATATATATATATATATATATATATATATATATATATATATATATATATATATATATATATATAAATAAACTTTTGTGTCTGAGTCGTTTTCAGAACAAGGGTCCTGACAAAAGCCTTTTGAAATGTATTCTCAAACATTTGAAGAAACATGCCATTACACCAACCGCTAACCTCTTTCTGCAAATTTGATTTTGGATTTTCAGAGTCTGATGGATTATCTGTCGAGGCGAAGTCAATCCCAGCGATGAGTCGAAGATGCTTGAACATCCACGGTGACCAGGGTGTTTCTCCACTTTGATATGACACTGGAAACTTTTTTTATGTTGTGGATTAATTTATAGGATTGGGTTTAGTTCTTATCAAATGTGCTAATAAGAGTAACAGTTGTGCTTTGGTTCTGAAAGTTTTAAAAATATAATAAAGCTTATTTATATAAACCTACACGATTGTCAAGATATTTCAGTCTTATGACTGCATTACTGATGTGTAAATGAGTCCTATGTGAGGAACACAATTATCTTACTTTAAATGGAATTCAGCACAAGAAATCAATTTATGGTGGCACAGCACAGAGGTGTAAAAGTTGATTCTATGATTTTATTGATAAAGTGTAACACAAACTAAGAGTTGCAACCTTTGCCACATTTTTTCTGTAAAACAAGCAATTTCCTTGTAAATATTACTTTGTAAGAACTAGAAAAATTAAAGCAAGTTCAGATTTTAATGTGGAAGAGAAAAGACCTAGTGAATGCAAGTATCTGATTCCAGTACAGTTCATGTGGAAATAAGCAACGGATTGAGTTTTACCAGTAAATGTCTAGATTATAAAATTCTCCGAAGGATTAACTAATCTCACATTTTATGTGATGTGATTACAGCAAGAATTAAAAAAATAATCTAAAAAGTAAATTTGTGTTTGACATGGAATTAGATCAACCTATAAAGCAGAGTATGTTAAAACTCAAAACAAAGTTGTAATGGATCACTGGTGCTGCTGGGAACGTAGTGACTCCATCTCGACTTCCATGGACTCCTCTCGATGTTCACAGGTGGAGGGAGAGGAGGAGGACGTAGCTTGTGTGCTGCTGGCTACAGAAGCCGGAGCGTGGGTCGACTCTAGGGCCATCCGAGGGTAGAAAGGACCAACCAGCCAGTTGAGCGGCGTGTTGTTGACCAGATAATCCATGACGTTGTCAAGGGAGTCTTTCATTTTGCGCAGCTGGACTTTGCTGCTGCTCAGCACACTGTGTGGCAGGTCTCCCAGCCCGTTAGCCTTGCTGAAGCTGGTGTAGATGTGTGTGGCAGAGCGGCTGAGGGAGAGCGCCTCCTGCTGGATGTGGTTGGGGAGGCCTTGCAGGCTAGAGACTAGGACCAGACAGGTGGTCTGGAGCTGCTGGGAGAGGGAACGTGCCAGGGCCAAGGTGCGAGACTCAATTACCTGAGTGGAAGGGAAAAGACAGATAACTAACCTGTGATAACTTCTCACACACACACACACAAAGAAATGTGTGTGGTGTTAACCACATTATGTTATTTCTTTGCATGTTTGTGTTGTCCTTACCTCTGCCTCGTGATCATTCTCCTGGTTTGGGCCATTGGACTTCCTGGCCACCAGGGACCTCAGCTTGTCATTTACCATCTGGTTAGCCCCGTCAATGTTCTTTTTGCCATATTCAATCTAGAAAAAGAAACACTTGAAATGTTTATAAGACACTTCAGCTAGTTCATGTTACTGTTCAGCAGTTGTTGGAAGTTCATCTCGAGTTCATGTTAAGGACAAGTCCATATGGAGTTATGTTAAGTGCTGCTAATAATGAATAAGAGGCCCACCAGGTCAACAGTGGAGTTCAGCTCAGAAATGAATTTCCTGCTTTGCTGCTTGCCATCTTGGATTCTGGCCAAGGCCCTGGTGTACGCCCGCTTTCGGAGTTTGGTGGAGAGGGAACCCAGGCGGACATAGTAGCTCGGCTCCTTCTTGTCAAAGCCGCTCACAGTTTTTGCCTCCAGCTCTGTCACAAGTGAGGGAAACATGAAATGTACCGTTTAACATGAGGACATGCCACACTGGTATGTCAAGTTTTATCAGAAAAAACAGATAAAAGTCAAACCCAGAGCCAATCACAGCATACACTTTGTTTGAATTCATGAGCATGTAAACAGGTTATACTAAACATTTCTGGTTTTGCACCACAGGTAGGTAACGTCACAACCTACATCTGTGCTAACAACGGCGGTGTTGTTAAGTTCTTCAGCACTTTCCTCAACAACGGGAAGCTGATTCCGACAACGGTGAGTTCTACTTGACTCAGCTAGTGGTGGGAGTAGAGCTGGGTGAGGACTATTTATTGGTCTGTTGGAGACCACTTTCCCTACAGATGTTCATGCTCTTTATCTTTTGTTGCATATATGTAACCCCCCCCAAAAAAATATAGTAATAAATTAGATTCATGGCAGCTGCATAGCACACATGGATGGCCTGTCATATAACTTTGAACTATAAACCACATATTGTGAGAAAAAAAAGTATGTGAACAGCAATTTTGTTCACTATGAGCTCCATTTATGATTCTGCCAGTGATGCTTTCACATGACGTGCTACAAACTGCAGTAGTGTTTTGCACGTTAGAACAGCTGTAGCCTTTAAAGCTGTGAAGAATGTAATTATTCACTATTCACTCCCTTTAAACAGATAAATTTAAACTAGCATAGTCTACAGGATTGTACATTTCTGCAAGCCACAATTCTCTCTAAACAATGACTCCTTTAATGATGGGAGAAAAACTGTTTAGATTCTCAGAAGAGCATAATCCGATAAGTCCTGTTTTTCTGGAAACTCCATCGTTAACGACATATTCCAGCTGCTTGTTAATAACTGACCCTTGATAACAGCCTGCTGGAGAAAAACAAGTTTAGTCTCTCCAGCCTTATTCGTTTTATTTACTTCAGCGTTATCTGAGGCCAAAACAGCAAGCAACAATAAACATTCACAAAGCTGATTTCTGTGTGAGGTAGTTTGTAGGTGGTCTAACTGGTGGTTTGTTGCTCCGCTTACCCAGCTCATCCTCTGTCAGAGGCAGGTACTGCTCCACCAGCCTCTCCGAGGTGCTTAGGGCCGTGTCCACTCCGGTGCTGACCAGCCGGGCCACCCTGCTTTCCAGCACTGTGCTGACACTCCCGCTGACAACAGCCCTGGTCTTGTCCACCCTGTCCTGCACCGCACCCCGAGTCTTCTCCACAGCGCTGGTCAGAGTGTCTGAGACTGTTTCCTTGGCACCGGACACTGTGCCTGTCACAACATCTTTAGCGTTGGTTACCACATCCTTGGCACTGGAAACAATCTGGCCGGGGACACAATCATGAACACATAAATTTTCAAATGATTACGGCAACGTTTCAAGTAGGTGAGGAAACGCCAATTGAGAAAGACAGGACATAGGTCATGACTGAGCCCTCAGAAGATTAACCGCTGTCAGCTACGACATTGCGCAACTGAAGCTATTGGTCACTAACCCAGCACATACCTGCTCAGATGGCTGGTGAAGAATTGGCAAGGATTTCTCAATCTTGTCCAAACCTTTACAGGCCAGGTCATTGGCAATGGCAACTGTAGGAAACAAAACAAATGTAAGCAAATTAGGAGTAGCGAGGCGAGGTGAAACAAAGATGTCAATAAATATGTGTAGGGTGAAACTTTATTAGGGAGAAAGTGGATAAATGTTCCTTTAAGTGGGAAAATTGTGCATCAGGTTTATTGTGGCTTTAATCTTGGTGATAATGAGTCAACAGAAAAATTGGGTGAAAGATCAAGATGAGTAAGAGCCATCAGCTTGACCCGAACTTCCTGTTTCAAACTATGTGTGACTCAGCTGGTTAGCACATAATCATCCTCAACTTCAATTCATTGGATTTTGTTTTCAATTTCAGATAGTGCCAATTCATAACACTATTCATGTAAAGCAGGTCTAGACCGTGTCCTTTGTAATATTGTTTACAGAGACCCAACAATTCCCACCATGAGCAAGCGCTTGGCAACAGTGGCAAGGAAAAACTGCCTATTAAACAGGTTTTGACATCCTATAAACTTTGAAGCCACATCTACAGTTTGATTTTTATCAGGGCATCTAAAATCCAGATTAAAGGGGTTCCTACTTTGAGGCTCCAGCTTGTCAATGATGGGTGAAGCGGTGGTGAGGGCCACCGAGGTGATGGTCCGGACTCCTTGCTCAGCAGCCTCACACACGGTCCTGATGTAAGGGTGGGTGCCCTTGGTGTTGGAGTACACGCTGAACACTAAGCCATAGGTGGAGCTCACCAGAGGAAGGCTGGTCACCCTCTCCACCACATTCTGTATGGAAATACAAACACAATAGTAGGGATGCCTTACTCAAATGCACAATTTAACTGTGTTGTTCCTAGAATACGTGTGCCATCAAGGAGTACAGGCTTGGAAAATGGGCTACTTAAACAATGACTTACTTTTATATTCCAATGAGTTTTAAAATAACAACTGAGTAATGATATAGACAACTGGACGGGTAAAACATGTTCTCTTATTCGTGAATGTGGAAAGTTTCTAGCGTCCTTTCTTGGATTTTAATAGGTCAAACGCAGCCTTTCCTCCAACACCACTGCCTGTTGCACATTCGTTATGGCAGCGTTGTCAACAAATATTAACAAAGAAGGCACACTCACCTGATTTGCGATAACTGCAGCTGCTGCCATGTCTGCTTTAACAAAACCTGTAGAGATAAGACACAACGTATAACGTCTCTATTCAGAAGAACAAAATAAACATGGACATTTTCTAAATAAACCAACACGAGGACTTAAAAAGTAGAGGTCTATTGTCAATGCTTCGGTATGATAGTATCCAGTCCTTAGTTACATAATAATAAAAGCTCAGCTCAGCTCCAGGAAATGTGTTACAGTAAAAAGGTTTCTTTAAAGAGAGACAAGTCAAGACTCACCGATAGCTCCGAGTGTATCCTAACTGTAAATGAGTTGTCTGATACTACGTGTGAGGCGACCGCAGCTGTATTTATATTCTATAATTATCGCGAGATGTAGCGCTGCGCCTTGACGTAACGTTTCTGGGGCAAAGGTAAAAGACCTAAAAGTTGGGTCGGGGAATTTTTATGAAATCAGCCATCACGTGGACAAGCTATGACACATAACGGCAATCTGATTTCTTAACATTTCATAAGCCACTAACAGTTTTTGGTCAAAAGAGTATTTTGCTTTCAGGGCGTCTCGTCAAGTAAGCAACAGTCCTAGATTATCTACAACTCGCAAATATAAAAACTTATAAAGTCCTCACTACTACAAGTGGATCTTAGGTCAAAATGATCAGAGGGCTCCTTCCTCTTTCCACCCTTCCTAGTACACAGAAATATAATGGACTCCAGAATAGGCCTACACATGACAGATATTCGTTGCAACAT